TTGTGTTCAGTAATTGAGTGGTCAGTAGTTGTGTGGTCAGTAGTCGTGGTCAGTAGTTGTGTCGTGGTCAGTCGTTTTGGTCAGTAGTCGAGTGGTTGTGGTCAGTAGTTTTGGTAAGTAGTTGTGCTCAGTAGTTGTGGTCAGTAGTTGTGTCGTGGTCAGTAGTTGTGTCGTGTTCAGTAGTGGTCAGTAGTTTTGGGCAGTAGTTGAGTGGTTGTGGTCAATAGTTTTGGTCAGTAGTTCTGGTCAGTAGTTGTGCTCAGAATTTGTGTGGTTGTGGTCAGTAGTTGTGGCCAGTAGTTGTGGTCAGTCGTTTTTGGTAAGTAGTTATGATCAGTAGCTTTGTGGTTGTGGTGAGTGGTTGTGGTCAATAGTTGTGGTCTGTACTTTTGTTGTGGTCAGTAGTTGTGTGGTTGTGGTCAGTAATTGTGGTCATTAGTTGAATGTTGTCCCACTCCTCTTCAATGGCTGTGTGAAGTTGCTTGATATTGGCGAGAACTGGAACATGCGGTCGTACACGTCGATCCAGAGCATCCCAAACATGGTCAATGGGTGACATGTCTGGTGAGTATGCAGGCCATGGAAGAACTGGGACATTTTCAGATTTCAGGAATTGTGTACAGATGATGGCAGCGGATGAATGGCACAAAAATGGGCCTCGGGATCTCATCACAATATCTCTGTGCATTCAAATTGCCAACATTTGAGAGAAATAAGCTTTTTGTGCATATGGAAACATTTATGGGATCTTTTATTTCAGCTCATGAAACATGAGATCAACACTTTACATGTTGTGTTTACATTTCTGTTCAGTGTAGATCCGTCTCTTTACACTACCATAAGTATCTCTCCTGGACCTAGTTTATGTCGTCAAAGTAGTGTAAAGAGGCCCTTAGATTCAGACTCTATTGTGTTCTATTTAAGCCATTCCATATGCACACAAATCCAACAAATATTCATACAAACTGAAGTTGAGAAAATGAATTATAGGTGAATTGTATATACATTTAAATAGGCATAACACAGTAATTGTAAGGGCATAATACTTATATAAGTGTATTAATAACAGATAACCTACCCATCACCATTATTAACTCGTTTTGGGACATCAAATTACACCAAAATCGGTTCCAACCTTGTTAGTCAAACAAGTCCAAGGCGTCGTGTTGGATAGGCGTAGAATTTTTTTTTTACCTTTCAGGTGCCATAGTCTACACATTGCGTGTTATCGGCAGGTGGTCATAGCTCTTTCACTAGGCTACATTTGCTTACAGGTGGAGACGAAACAATTGTAAGGGAATGTAAGAACAGCTTACCTTGCATCAATACCTTGAAGTGTGTCCTAATAGATGGCTATGGTGATGAGGGACAAGTGGACCTGAAAGAAACCCGCTGTCCACAGCAGAATTCAGTCTAACATGGGTGAAGTTAGGCGACCATAGAAGTAGTGTAGCCGTCCTAAGTGAGTAGATGTTGTTAGTGTATTAGGGCATTACATAAAGGATTTAGTGGACGGGGAGGGGAGGGGCTTGCCGCCAGCTTGCAACAAGTTACACTAGCACCACCTTGGTGACAATATAGGACAGCTCCTACTTAGATTTGTATGCGATAAGGGGTTAAAGTAATCCATTGGGACAGGAGGAGGCCCTTGCAGTTGAATTTGTCTTTTGACAATGGATAACTGACAGAATACTCCAGATTCAATATACAAGAGCCACAGAATCACTGTCATCAAGAAGTGGATAGGTGAGGAAGGATACAATGTAGCTTCTCAGTCTCAACTTTGTTACAATATGGGGACAATCAGTGCACAGCAGGTGGAATATTTCCTCATCAATATGACTTCAATAGATGAACAAGTTGAGACATGGTTTAGGCCATTACAATGGAATGTTTTTCATGGGGGAAGATTTCCCCTTGTATTTGGAAATAAATAAAGTTAGTTTTTGTTGTTGCAATAAAACAAATTAACACAATACAACATTCCAAACCACCAGGAATTCTTATGTTTTTAATGAAACCATACATCTCACCAAATAAAAATATTGATATGGATAGATACTGAAATGGAAGTGCGTCGGTATGTGTATATTGATATATGATAGTGAACTATTTACAATCAATCTTAAATGTACAATAAATGTGTAATTCATCCCCAGTTCTGTGGTATTATTATCATCAAGTCAGTATGACATCATCACAGTAACACACAACCATTCACACTAGTGCACATGAATAAGCAAAAAAGGCAGAGACAGGTGCAGCCCAAAGCCAATTGAAAATATCAGGGGTACATTCAGTTCGATTAAACATTTGCTACGGTGCGTGACGGTTTGTACTGAACGACACGTTTCTCGAAAACATTCTTCAACGTTCTTGAACCGACTTGCTCCATTTGGTAGGGTGTGGCGTGAAGCAATGAGTGACATATTTAAAGGGCAGAGGACATGCTGACAGCGTTCCCCAACCCCTCCCCTTTTTTTCAACTGGTCGTTCAGAACAGCACCGTTTCCATTTAATTGAATGTTGCACACCATTTCCCCCCCCCATACTGAACGCAGCCCAGTTCCTGACTACAGGGGTGTATTCATTAGTGCACACCATCGCAAACTGTAGCAAAACATTTTGCAACGAAAACAAGCATTTCTTATTGGACAAGTTCAGGTTAGTCCCTTCCGTTTGGTTCCTAGCGAATACATCCTAGATTGCAGTTTAACATCAAAATACATATTTGTCCTGTCTCTCACTGCCCTCTACATTTCTGAATAGTAAAATGGAGGGTCTAGCCATTAATCCTTCATCAATTATTTGGAAGCTTCAACAACATTGACCTTTTTGTTTCAAGTACAGTATTGTAAATCCTCCATCACAACAGAACCCCTCTTTTCAAACTGAAGCTGCACAGACGACAAAGTCACACTATAAAGAACAAAAGCAAGAATCTGAAAATCAAGTCTTGGAATGCTGTGTTTGTACCTCTGCTCTTGACAAGCTACTTAGTGAGCTTATCTCACAAACCCCATTGCTTCAAATCACTTCACTAGCCTTTGATTTAGGTACCCAAAAGAAGTAAGAGTTCAATATATCTCTTAACCAATGAAGGAAATGGTTTGAGATTTATACTTGGTGCGACACAGCCTTTCAGGATGTGAGTTTAAGTCCCATACATGGAAGTATCATATCAAGGCACCTAACTGACAGAGCAATGAGAGACAGCCATACAGAAAGAGGCAGCAGATTAAGGCTAGGTTCCAGCTTCACCACAGCTCTTAAGAGAATGTCTAGACATTGGTTTAGCTTCAACCGCTTCCTCTGAGTTAAATACAAGTGTATTCATGTTTGTGTGTGTGTGTGTGTGTGTGTCCATTTTGATTCAGTCACCCCAGGAATTGAATTAATTGAATTTAAACTAATTTAATGAATCAGCGGAGATAACATGTGTGTGAACTTGTTCATTATTTGGTGGATGGAAGTAAAACCAAACAATAGTTTTGTTCTCAAACTAACAAGTTACACAATAATCAATAAAAATGCTGAAATGAAAGAATGCCAGTAGACTATCACTATGCGGAAGATCTAAACCAGAATAGTCCAAATTGTTAGGAAAATAGTATCAGTAAAAGCTTTGCCAATTGTGGTGATGGATTCAGCAAAGCACTTCATGTATGACTGAACACAGAATATTAGGATAAGCTACATGATATACAATGATGTGTTAGTGATATGCTATTTGACAATGACTGAAATAAACAAAATCTAAATAAATTAACAAAAAACAGAACAGACTTCTGGTTGATGTTATTTTGTACACAATTTCTGTGGATAAATGCTTTGGTAGCCTCTGAGAAGTAGTATTTATTTTCACACAATTGGACCCACTTCTAACCAACTATATACACATAACATCATCAAAGAAAAAAAGTTCAACACAGGACTCTCAATAACTCAGACAAATCATACACACAACAATAACATTATAAAAAAACAAGGTGTGAAACTCAAACCAAAAGAAAGTTCCAAGTCCACAGTCTTCACCAGGGCTCTGTCCATCTACTACTCCTTTTATCAGATGTGGCATTCCTGATTTGCTCTGCATCCCGAGGAGGAACAAGGTCTGTTGTTGACAAAGGGGAAGGTGATACCATGATATTAAATGTGATACTGTAATGATGGAAAATGTAATTGGTCCTTGCAAAAAAATGGCGATCCACGTGCTCTGTATTTACGTTCAGCGGTGAAATCACACACAACTGGAGGCCATGGGGGGGGTATGAGCCAGCTCATTACACATCTGAGCCAATGGGATATTTTGAGGGGGCAGGGAGAAGGCAGATTAGGCTACAATCTTGTTTCTCTTTTGAAATTAACATTTTAAATCTTCCTTCCTATGCACTTTATTGATAAATCCTTGTTAGTTTTCATTTCTCTAAATAATTGTTGTTTAAGGCAGAGAGCGGAGGAATGCTGACTGTCTCCTTCGGGATGTTTTCCTTCACTTCTATTTCCTCTACCCTCTTAGTTGGAGACCCCTGTTATATTTTTCCCTGTCCCTCCAACCCTCTTGATTTGTCATGGTATAGGCAACTAGATTCCGATTTTTGTCAGAGCGGATGGTCGGGGGGGCCAGAACATAATGATCATTTGTACACTGCAAATTGACCACAACTAAGCCCAAAAAGAGATTGTATTTGATCACTTGATTACAGTGAGACACGATCACAGCTCTCTTTATTTATTAGTGGGAATACTTTAACAGATTTCCTAAATTCAACAGATTTTTTGCTGAATTCCTGGTGATTTTAGTATTTTTTTGGACCCAAAAACTAAAATCCTAAAGAAATTGCTAAAAGCTTTAGGAGGCCAAAAATAAAAATCACTTGTTGCCGACCCCCTGCCCTATACCCTTCTACTGGGGTCATATCTCCCCAATCCCTGCTTTGTCATTGGATCTTCCCCTACTCTTACTGTGTTATAGGCACCCTATTCCCTATATAGTGCACTACTTTTGACCAGGGCCCTTGGGGAACAAGGTACCATTTGGGATGCAGCCATAGTGTTATAGCATCCCCTGCCCCCTCTTCTCCTCAGTTCAGGTCAGTCAGAAGTCTCCCCTCTGCTCTCCACCACCATCAGCCGGGTCATAGTATCTCCTCCACCCCGTGGGCGAAGATCATGACCAGGCCTGGCTCCAGGATCATGTCCTCCCCCATATGCTGGTTCTCACAGGACATCACCACCACTGCCTGTTTCCCCGGGATACGCTTGGCCACGTAATTCTCATAGTAGCGCCGGTTCATCTGCCGTGTCTCCAGTGTGGCCAGGCCGGCGGGCCAGTTCCTCTCGTGGGCGTTCTCGATCAGGTCGTTGACGATGGAAGGCGGGCAGCCACTGTCGATGAGCGAGCGCTTAATGACCGCCTGGAGGACAGCGTCCGGTGTCGAGATCATGCCGCCCCAGCGCGTGACGCGCGCCGGCTGGAGGGAGTTCACCCACCTAGGAGGGGAGGTAGAGGGGAGGATGACATGAGAGAGAGGATTGGGATATTAGGATGGATATTTTAAATCATGTAATAACAACTAGATGTGTCCTAACACAATCATATAGAAATGGGACGATAAACCGGAAATTATCGACACCGACCATACAGAACACTTATCACAGGCACTTTGCTGATATCGTTCATTACAATAAGTATCCTACACTTGAGATATGTGAAGTTTGAAATGAAATAAGTTGATGGCTACAACAACTATCAAACTACTAGTGGTAATTTAAAGGGAAAAAATTGCTAAAACTGGTGCACATTAATGTTATAAACTTATCGTTCTATTTATCATTATCGCATCAATTCTAGCAATTTATCACGATATGGATTTTTGTCCATAACGGCCAGCTCTATAATGATCACTTAAATTAATTAATATGCCTAAAAGGTGGAAAGTGACGCAGCGTAGTAAGTTAAACTGTCTGACTGTGAAGTGTTCTGTGCAATTGAGTATTGCACCACAGTGCTTGATAATCCACTCACTCCAGAATCTCATTGTACTCAATGGTCTCCTCCAGGTTCTGCAGGTTGGGGTTGGCACTGCGGATGGCCCTCATGTATGCCTTCAACAGCTGGATGTCCCGTTTCTGGAGGCAGAAAGGAGACATCACACTGTGCTTGGAGACCATGCTGCCGCAACATCACACAGACAAACACTCAGATGTATAAGCACTGACAAACACACACACGTGAATGCATAAATACACTTACTCAAGCACACCCTGACGCACACACACACATATAACTGCAGACACACACACAGACCTGCTCTGCTAGCTGGTGCTTGTGTTCAGCAGCAGTCTTGTCCAGGTCGGTGATCTTGCCCTGCTGTTGCTGCACCACGCTGCGCAGGTGTTTGATGCAGTTGTGGCTGGACACCTCGTCTTTAGGCATCTCCAGTCTGAAGGGGCAGAGGGAGGACAAAACAGCTGATCAACAGCCTTATAGCTCAACCAACTCACCTACAGCCCCAGTAAACTACAACCTTTAGTCGATACCCTACGCCCACAGCCCTGTTGACCCACTAACCCAGAGCTAGTAGCACCACTCGCCTATACCCGACAGCAGAGTTTCCCAATCCGATTCTTGCCCCACTCTTGTGGTTGTGCTCATGCTCCCTCATTTAGCTGAATTTTACAGTTTCACAGCTTTGCCTATATAATTTATATAAATGATTAACAAAACATGCTCTAAAATAGAGCCTTGAGGAACCCCTTTGTTGGAGCCAACCCCACTCACCCGCAGCCCTGCCTGCACTGGACGGGCCTCTTGGGGTTGTGCTGGCAGTCCCTGAGGTGCGACTGCAGCTGGTCGAGGCGCAGCACGGTGGTGCAGCCGAAGCCGGCATTGTCGCAGTTGATCTGCAGCTTGGACAGCATGTTGCGCATGATGCGGGGCACGGGGCGCAGGTGGGCCAGTGTCACCACACTGCGGTCCACGGGGCAGATCTGCTGCTGGGAGAACCACTGGGTGATGCAGGCATTGCAGAAGGCATGCTCGCAGTGAGGGGCCTAAGGGTGGAAGAAGGGGGACACACACAGGAAGAAAGTGACAGCAAACAAAGATCGCTCCGGCGAAAAAGCATTCTATTGTTAAAAAAATATTTTTCAGTCGATAATATAAAACGTACAGTGGGGAGAACAAGTATTTGATACACTGCCGATTTTGCAGGTTTTCCTACTTACAAAGCATGTAGAGGTCTATAATTGTTATCATAGGTACACTTCAACCGTGAGAGACGGACTCTAAAACAAAAATCCAGAAAATCACATTGTATGATTTGTAAGTAATTAATTTGCATTTTATTGCTTGACATAAGTATTTGATACATCAGAAAAGCAGAACTTAATATTTGGTACAGAAACCTTTGTTTGCAATTACAGAGATCATATGTTTCCTGTAGGTCTTGACCAGGTTTGCACACACTGCAGCAGGGATTTTGGCTCACTCCTCCATACAGACCTTCTCCAGATCCTTCAGGTTTCGGGGCTGTCGCTGGGCAATACGGACTTTCAGCTCCCTCCAAAGATTTTCTATTGGGTTCAGGTCTGGAGACTGGCTAGGCCACTCCAGGACCTTGAGATGCTTCTTACGGAGCCACTCCATAGTTGCCCTGGCTGTGTGTTTCGGGTCGTTGTCATGCTGGAAGACCCAGCCACGACCCATCTTCAATGCTCTTACTGAGGGAAGGAGGTTGTTGGCCAAGATCTCGCGATACATGGGCCCATCCATCCTCCCCTCAATACGGTGCAGTCGTCCTGTCCCCTTTGCAGAAAAGCAGCCCCAAAGAATGATGTTTCCACCTCCATGCTTCACGGTTGGGATGGTGTTCTTGGGGTTGTACTCATCCTTCTTCCTCCAAACACAGCGAGTGGAGTTTAGACCAAAAAGCTCTATTTTTCTCTCATCAGACCACATGACCTTCTCCCATTCCTCCTCTGGATCATCCAGATGGTCATTGGCAAACTTCAGACGGGCCTGGCTTGAGCAGGGGGACCTTGCGTGCGCTGCAGGATTTTAATCCATGACGGCGTAGTGTGTTACTAATGGTTTTCTTTGAGACTGTGGTCACAGCTCTCTTCAGGTCATTGACCAGGTCCTGCCGTGTAGTTCTGGGCTGATCCATCACCTTCCTCATGATCATTGATGCCCCACGAGGTGAGATCTTGCATGGAGCACCAGACCGAGGGTGATTGACCGTCATCTTGAACTTTTTCCATTTTCTAATAATTGCGCCAACAGTTGTTGCCTTCTCACCAAGCTGCTTGCCTATTGTCCTGTAGCCCATCCTAGCCTTGTGCAGGTCTACAATTTTATCCCTGATGTCCTTACACAGCTCTCTGGTCTTGGCCATTGTGGAGAGGTTGGAGTCTGTTTGATTGAGTGTGTGGACAGGTGTCTTTTATACAGGTAACGAGTTCAAACGGGTGCTGTTAATACAGGTAATGAGTGGAGAACAGGAGGGCTTCTTAAAGAAAAACTAACAGGTTTGTGAGAGCCGGAATTCTTACTGGTTGGTAGGTGATCAAATACTTATGTCATGCAATAAAATGCAAATTAATTACTTACAAATCATACAATGTGATTTTCTGGATTTTTGTTTTAGATTCCGTCTCTCACAGTTGAAGTGTACCTATGATAAAAATTACAGACCTCTACATGCTTTGTAAGTAGGAAAACCTGCAAAATCGGCAGTGTATCAAATACTTGTTCTCCCCACTGTATAATATATACATTTGGAACACCTATCCTTCCATGACAGACTGACCAGATGAATCAAGATAAAAGCTATGATCCCTTATTGATGTAACTTGTTAAATCCACTTCAATCAGTGTAGATGAAGGAGAGGAGACAGGTTAAAGAAGGATTTCTAAGCCTTGAGACAATTGAGACATGGATATTGAGACATGGATTGTGTATGTGTGCCATTCAGAGGGTGAATGGGCAAGACAAAAGATGTAAGTGTCTTTGAACGGGGTACAGTAGTAGGAGCCAGGCTCTCCGGTTTGTGTGTGTCAAGAACTGCAACGCTGCTGGGTTTTTCACACTCAACAGTTTCCCGTTTGGACTAAGAATGGTCCACCACCCAAAGGACATCCCGCCAACTTGACACAACTGTGGGAAGCATTGGAGTCAACATGGGCCAGCATCCCTGCAGAAAGCTTTCGACACGTTGTAGAGTCCATGCCCCAATGAATTGTGGCTGTTCTGAGGGCAAAAGGGGGTGCAATTCAATATTAGGAAGGTGTTCCTAATGTTTTATACACTCAGTACAAGCTTTGTTGTACAATTAAAGGTAAAATACACTGCATTTAAAACAGTCAACAATAATTAATGAATTCAGGGCTTGTGAAATTATACCTTACGATCGTGGAAGGCTAAATGTAAGGCTTCCACAACCGTAAGACCCACATTTTATCCAAATAATTTAACCTGCTTTTTTGCAATAATCACTGATCTAAAAATAATGCCCTTTTTGTTACAAATTTAACCAGAACCATGCATAATGCACATTCACCAATAATGTCTAACTTCTTGTAGTAGGCATTATATAAAATTAACACAGGTCTCCTAAACAATCTCTCAAGCACTAGCCCATATGCTAGTGAGTAGCCAGCTAATCTTTATATTTCAAGTTTAGCCAACTTGGATCTATTTTCTAGCTAACAAGGTAGAACAGTTGAATTGTTATGAACACACCCGCCTGTCCGTCTCCAACTGTTTGAACAGCCTGCTAGCCTGTCCACTTTGTTCAGATGTTGAAATCAAGTGGCCTACCTTATTTCTCAGAATGAGAACGAGTTAAAATGCTGCTAGTGGTAAGTGGTACCGCAATGCACGCGCAACAAACTAAGCATTCCTTTTCCAGAATCAATGTTCATTGATACTCCTGTTTTAGTAGTGTCTGCGCTGGGTGCAATTTAAGGAGTTTAAACATAAAAAGGGTATCGGTAGAAATGATAACTTCTCCTTTATTACAGTAAAATAATGTCTCAATGTGTTTCGGTGTCCATATGACCGATTCTGTTGGACCAAACCTCAAATGCAAATAGTGAGTTGAAACCGCTTGTCACAGAGGAAGAAGTGATCGCTCATCTTTGTTGTTGTAAGTGGCAGGGTGAGGGGCTTGGTGTGTGTGTGTGTAAATGGGAAGGTGCACACAGCACAGAAAGAGCGAAGGATACGAGACCAAAAAGGCCTTTGGAATATCGTGCAAAAACATACATTTGATATATTGCCCAGCCCTAACTAGAGGCAGAGATCATGGTTAAAAAAAGCTAAAGTCATTAGCAGTGAAAGTGGGAGTTCAGGTTACATTGGTGTATAGCAGTTCTGCTGTGGGTGAAGTGCTCATCAACGCAGGGGTGACGGTACTGATGACATCAGCGCGTGATGCTAAGCTAGCGACGGGCCGGCTAGCTTCTGTTGGCTACAATTGGTGTTCCCACTACAGTTCCTGGGTGTGTCAGGAAGAAAGCTTTGAAGGCTACAGCTGCTACTGGTAGCAGTGAATCCCCCAGATATGGAACCTTCTTGCCCCCTGTTCTCCATGCAGTCCCTGGGGGAGCTCGAAATGGCACCCTATTCCCTATATAGCGCGCTACTTTTGACCAAGGCCCTGGTCAAAAGTAGTTCATTATAGGGAATAGGGTGCCATTCCAGACACAGTCCTAGTTCCAATTCTTCCCACCCCAGTGGGGTTCTGTGCTGCAATGCTGCTGATTCACACTGGGGCCCCCACCCAGCCCAGCCCAGCCCAGGGACACGTCACACAGCAGCACTGACTCCAGGAAGGTCGGGCAGAGCACACTGACTGGGACTAACACACTAATATGCACACCTAACCTCTTTTTCCTCCTCTCCCTCCCCTTCTCTCAGTCTGGAAAAGGTCCCATACTCCTAGCAGGCCATTGGAATATAGCCTTCCCTCAGGTCCGTGATATCTATAGGCGATATGCTGCTACATCTGCATTGCTTGCTGTTTGGGGTTTTAGGCTGGGTTTCTGTATAAGTACTTTGTGACATGTGCTGATATAAAAGGGCTTGCGAAAGTATTCACCCCCCCTTAACATTTTTCCTATTTTGTTGCCTTACAACCTGGAATTAAAATAGATTTTTGGGGGGTTTGTATCATTTGATTTAAACAACATGCCTACCACTTTCAAGATGCAAAATATTTTTTGGTGTGAAACAAACAAGTAATAAGACAAAAAAACAGAAAACTTGAGCGTGCATAACTATTCACCCCCCCAAAAGTCAATACTTTATAGAGCCACCTTTTGCAGCAATTGCAGCTGCAAGTCTCTTGGGGTATGTCTCTATAAGCTTGGCACATCTAGCCACTGGGATTTTTGCCCATTCGTCAAGGCAAAACTGCTCCAGCTCCTTCAAGTTGGATGGGTTCCGCTGGTGTACAGCAATCTTTAAGTCATACCACAGATTCTCAATTGGATTGAGGTCTGGGCTTTGACTAGGCCATTCCAAGACATTTAAATGTTTCCCCTTAAACCACTAGGTGTTGCTTTAGCAGTATGCTTAGGGTCATTGTCCTGCTGGAAGCTGAACCTCCGTCCCAGACTCAAATCTCTGGAAGACTGAAACAGGTTTCCCTCAAGAATTTCCCTGTATTTAGCGCCATCCATCATTCCTTCAATGCTGACCAGTTTCCCAGTCCCTGCCGATGAAAAACATCCCCACAGCATGATGCTGCCACCACCATGCTTCACTGTGGTGATGGAGTTCTCGGGGTGATGAGAGGTGTTGGGTTTGCGCCAGACATAGCGTTTTCCTTCATGGCCAAAAAGCTCAATTTTAGTCTCATCTGACCAGAGTACCTTCTTCCATATGTTTGGGGAGTCTCCCACATGCCTTTTGGCGAACACCAAACATGTTTGCTTAAGCAATGGTTTTTTTCTGGCCACTCTTCCGTAAAGCCCAGCTCTGTGGAGTGTACTGCTTAAAGTGGTCCTATGGACAGATACTTCAATCTCCGCTGTGGAGCTTTGCAGCTCCTTCAGGGTTATCTTTGGTGTCTTTGTTGCCTCTCTGATTAATGCCCTCCTTGCCTGGTCCGTGAGTTTTGGTGGGCGGCCCTCTCTTGGCAGGTTTGTTGTGGTGCCATATTCTTTTTTTAAAATTATAATGGATTTAATGGTGCTCCGTGGGATGTTCAAAGTTTCTGATATTTTTTTATAACCCAACCCTGATTTGTACTTCTCCACAACTTTGTCCCTGACCTGTTTGGAGATCTCCTTGGTCTTCATGGTGCCGCTTGCTTGGTGGTGCCCCTTGCTTAGTGGTGTTGCAGACTCTGGGGCCTTTCAGAACAGGTGTATATATATACACTGAGATCATGTGACAGATCATGTGACACTTAGATTGCACACAGGTGGAGTTTATTTAACTAATTATGTGACCTGAAGCTCATTGGTTGCACCAGATCTTATTTAGGGGCTTTATAGCAAAGGGGGTGAATACATATGCACGCACAACTTTTCCGTTATTTACATTTAAAAAAAAAAAAATCATTTCACTTCACCAATTTGGACTATTTTGTGTATGTCCATTACATTAAATCCAAATAAAAAACCATTTAAATTACAGGTTGTAAAGCAACAAAATAGGAAAAAACGCCAAGGGGGATGAATACTTTTGCAAGGCACTGTAAATACATTTGATTTAGATTTGATACTGCTCTGGATATAATAGTGTACATACTATTTGTCCTGCCGATGCTGGGGAATGGGGATGCAAAGTAAGCGGCATCAGTAGTCACACAGCTGAGTGCAGATGCAAGCAAACTGAATTCCAATTCTTCCCTCTCTCTCGCTTTGTCCCCTCTCGCTCAGTAACTTTATTTCCACAGAAAACCCTACGCCAGTTATGTCCACATTCCTGTACTGCTGCCAGCATTCTCCTTGCTGAATTGACCCACCAACGCATGAACACACGTGCCCACAGACACAGATGCAATCACACTCTCATAAAGACACTGCAAAACAAAGAACACTAGTAACACCAATTGACCAATCCCTAGGCTGGAAAAAGTGTTTTGTACTATATAAAGCACAATCCAGCAACCATTTGCTCCAAGGGCAAACATGTAGGAAAACAATGCCATCCTCTGCAGGTTGGTAGAATCAAAAGTGTGTCTATTTAAAGCTACTCACCTTATGGTTGGTCTCGGTTTGGGAGATTGGTTTGTTATGTTAGCATCCCTATGCTTTATTTACATTAACAGGACTAAGCATCCCCACTCACTTCTCCTATCCTGATTCCCTACACCTCTGCCCCATCTTTATGTATCACTACAAACATTAGGCTCTTCTCATTCATCTAGAACAAGAACGGACAGACCTTCCTGCAAAGCTCATCTCTACATATTTCCTTCTTCCCTCTACCCTTGCTGTCATTGCATCCCTCTGAAAGTCGATCGTCCTGTAAGCTCTCCTCCCTCTCTCTGCCCATATCCTTCCGTGGTCCTCTGTAGCTCAATTGGTAGAGCATGGCGCTTGTAACGCCAGGGTAGAGGTTCGATCCCCGGGACCACCCATACACAAAAATGTATGCGCACATGACTGTAAGTCACTTTGGATAAAAGCGTCTGCTAAATGGCGTATTATTATTATTTAAGATGCGATAGGGCCATTCTCCTTATGTCCGTTATCGCTCTCACCCCCCATACAAGCTTCATCATAGAGAATTAAATTACAAGTCTAGTGATATAATGTATATAGAAATGCAAGAACACGATATCGGCAAGAGCACTGCGGACAAGATGATAATCACCTTTTTAGCATGACAAAATAAATGGCCTGCACAAGGCCTACAGGACTGAAATGTCCGCGTTTTTTCTCCTTTCTCTACAACAAATGGAACAGCAGGTGTGGCCAATGCGTTGACAAGAACTGGATCCTATTTGACTGAAACAGAACTGAATTTACAACACACTGACAATTCCTTCTTTTTCAGTGATTGAAGCAGCACTGATTTTTCAGAACACTGAAATGCACTGCTTCTCCAATGGCTGAAATGGTACAGAGATGTGTACGTCACTGACCTGCACGGGCTCCTCTAGGACTCCACTGCAGATGGGGCACAGCAGGTCCTCATCCACTTCCCCCTGGAACCGGGTGATGTCGTAGCCCATGGCACATCACCGGATCCAACTACAACCTGCAACACAGGTAGGGAAATGGTAAGCCTACAGAGTCCAGACAAACACGACAACCTATATATCATTCATGTGCAGGATTATAAATCGACATGGAACACCCTAACAGAAAAAAATATAGTACTCAATTTGCTAGAACATACCTACCCTACCGTTACGCTTGTTTACACTGAGCTGCACTGGGGTCAGAATGCAATCAAGGTTACATTAAGACACTGTGGAGCCGGCGTGAGATATGGGTCGGAAAACGTACGTCAGTGCAGGGATGGGATATGCCACTGTACTCCAAATGTTACCTTTATCCACACTGCTCCATCGAGAAGGTGTCTTAACATACCAATGATTGCCTTCCGACCTCAGTGCAGCTCAGTGTAAACAAGCGAAACGGTAGGGTCGGTATCTTCTCGCTTAGTTCTCAATCATGTTCAAAATAAACAACCTATATATACAGTGCATTGACTTATTCCACATTTTGTTGTGTTACAGCCTGAATTCAAAATAGAAGAAATAGGCTGTTTACCTGTGTTTTTGTGATGGTAGAGTTTGCTAAACAAATACCCACTGGATTGATGAAAATAATAATGATATCATTCTGCCAGGTAATCATAGTTTACTTAGTAGTTAACATTTAATTGAGAAAGTTTCCATCTACCAGAAGATTAGCATCATCCTTAATGGCTACACAACGTGGTAGACGCGCATCGCACACACACAGACAGGATACATTCTCGTTGCCTCTTCAGAAAGTTGAAGGAAATACTAATCACTGATGCATTCTGTTAATGGCTTATGATACATTTGGACAGATTAATTCATTTTCAATACATTTAGTTGATTCCCTACTAAGGTCAATACATTTTTGAATATTGTTTAATTCCATTTTAATGCCTTGATTCCGTGAGGTCCCTAATTATCATATTTGGACCAGAATTAGGCTCTCCACTACCTATTGTCCCTGCAGTGATGATTCACAATCTTCATCTAATGTTTTCATAATTTATCTGCAGATAATCGGCCAAAATTCCTAGGCCTACCAGTAGCCTATGCAAACTAGGGAGCCAAATGAACAGCTCTCTCACCAATGCGATTCGGTAGGCTACACTGACTGACAAGAGGAGAGTCAGTGACTTAAGCATCATGTCTGGCAAGCCCGACAAACTAGGAAAGGAAATCTAGGAAATCCTTTGGTTTAGAGACCATGGACATACAGTATAACCAGGTTGCATGATTTAGGAATGGCAAAGGGATTAGGGCTGTCCGCTACTAAAACATGTATTTTTCCATATATAGACACACCCTATGTTTAAATAAAATCAACTATATGTAGGCTACTGAGCTTGTCTGATGCTTTAAGCGCTGCGATTAAAACTGAAGACTCAAATTACTAAAGAGGGAGCCAGAGATCAATATAGCCTAACCAGAAGAAAAAACCTGTTCCCAACCCTCCACCTCCCGCTGGCCTTCACAGATTCTGCCCGTTAAGATCCTGAAGTTGCCGGTAATAGGCTACACCAACGGTCGGCAACCTTTTCCATTTGGTGTGCCAAGTTATCGTACCATTTCTACCGATCTGCGCACCAGTTATGATTTTCATATGTACATTCTTGTGGAACAGTTTAATTTATAATAAAGTCTTCATCTCAAAATCAATGTCATGTTGTTAATCAAAATTCTATCTAAATGAAAATTATACAAATCTAAAAGTAACTTTATTGCCATTGCCAATATGTAAAAATAGCCTACATAAAGCTAACAAACAAAAACATTGCAGCTCGCAGGTAGAAAATATCCTGATTAAAATAAATATCCTATAAATCACATTGGCTACACATGGCCTGTCTGCAAGGAACTTGAAACATTGTATCAACTATTAACTTGGTCTGAAGCTCTAGCTAACAAACTTGCAACATTGTATAAAATCTTCTGGGCCCTCAGAGTTTCCTGCCCCAGTGAGCTCCGGACAGACAGACACATTTACTCTCGGACCCTGCTCAGCGATGCAAATGACGACTTCCAAATCAGAACAGTCTATCGATTACGGATATAGGCTTGGACGTAGGAAAAGTTCCACTAGGATCTAGAAAATCTGGGCTAGACACTGAGATGAGAAGTCTTTCAGAATTAAAAGCAAAGGGCTTGTCATTAATTAACAGAATCTACTGCACACCAGAATGAGGTGATTTCATTTTGAGATAGCCACTTGTTTACCAAGAGTCAAGACTAACTATAAAGACACTTACCCACTCCAGTGCAAGTGGGTTTTATTTTTGTCTAAGACCAGGGGTAGTATGAACATTTATGGTGTGGATACTTCTTGGGTATCAGTGCACTTTGAAATAACTACCTGGAACTGTCAAATTGATTAAATCAACAAGTATAAAGCCCAACATTCTCAATGAATATGGATGTCATACAACTAAAACACTGACTTCATAGTAATCAATGATCAAAAGGTCAAATTAGGGGGTACTTATATTTGTGTGTAACCTGTACAAGTGTGTGGTTTGAAATGTAAATGTTTTGTTTTTTTTGCATATCCCACCCTCGGAGAGTGGGGTCACGCCCAGGGATCAGCCATTATTGACGGCGACCCTGGAGCAATCAGGATTAACATTTACATTTTACATTTACGTCATTTAGCAGACGCTCTTATCCAGAGCGACTTACATGAGCAATTAGGGTTAAGTGCCTTGCTCAAGGGCACATCGGCAGATTTTTCACCTAGTCGGCTCAGGGATTAGAACCAGCGACCTTTCGATTACTGGCACAACGCTCTTAGCCACTAAGCTACCTGCCGCCCCCTTAATGACAGGGATTCCTGTCATTAAGTGGATTGCTCAAGGGCAGATCGACAGATTTTTCACCTAGTCGGCTCGGGGATTCGAACTAGCAACCTTTCGATTATGGGCAATCAGGATTAACCTCTAGACTACCAGCCGCCCCCAGTACCTATGCATGTTCAATGTCCACTCACCAGTGTCTTTCCTTCCTTGGGCCAGAATCCTCAGCCCTCCTATTCATTGAAAATATGGACCACAGGGGCAGAGTTTTGGGAAGGATAGAGGAGCAACCTGGGGCCTAGGTAAGGATGTCCTGGGAAAATGCGTCTGGGATAAAATAATAACGTTATGCAACGTTGTTGGGATGAATAACTTTATTGTCCCTTTAAATTTACTTTATAGCCAGTTTACGATATGATTAGCGCTATGTTTGCTACTCAAACACGGAAATCATAATTACTGTTCCAAATGGAATACCGTAACGTTAGCTATGTGGCTAGCTAAATAGTAAACAGTAGCCAGCTGCAAACAGATGAAAGATTAGTGATGGATACCAATTAGAAAATCTGACGAGCCAGTGTGCACGCAAGTTAGCCACAGCTGACTAACGTTACGTGAGCTAACGTTAACTAGTTAGCTAGCTAACTTACAGCTTAGCTGGCGGTGGTGGAATAATACAGGAAAACAAACAGATAGCGCGCAACGCTAGTGATATTTCTTCGAATTGAGTAACGTTACCTGTTGATATAACAATAAATGGTTAGATGGTCTTTTAAAGTACGTTTGCGTCAGTATTTGGGTTAGCATGCCAGCACGATATCCATTTTTTTTCTTGATTCCTGTCACATTTCGACGTCCAGCCCTCACTCCTGCCGCTAAGCAACCAAATTGTCAAATCATTGATTGACAGTTGACTCCACCTATCTTCGGTACGATCAGCGTCCCTTCTCAGATAAAGGGCCTATCACATGATTCTTTCTAAAGCACATCCCATATAGGCCATTGCCATTGGACACAATTTCGATTGACATTACATTTGACCAACATAATGCAGCAGGGGACAAGTCTCCGCCACTACTGTAGTGACATACTGATGCTCACGAAAAACAACTTGCTAGCCCTTTTACACACAGGAAAACAATACTTATATTTAAACTAACTTGCCCCATGGCTTAAAATCCCTTATATCGGACAACGCAGCTGTGAACGAAAATACACACCGTTGAGGTAACGTTAACGTCATTTGTAGCTAACGACCTGGCACCCAGTTAGATAGCTATAACTATCGTCAGCTAGATTTCTGCTATAATGCTAATAGGTTATGGCAGTGAGTAACGTTACTGCAGCTTGGTAAGATAGCTACACCAGTTGCCAGACTGGTCCTTCTAGCTACTTTACTAGTCATTAGTCAACCTGGGTTGCATACTTGCATTGATCTGATCGTGCATTGCTGTGTACAAATGTAACGTTATGTATCATCATCAAGGCCATGTATTCCTGTAAGCTTGCTCACACTCACGTCAACGTTTCAGTGCTGCTTTGGACGGTCCAGAGTTGACTTAGCTAGTTGTGGATGCATGACGAGAATCTGAAAGATGACGACTGAGACCCACGTCAAGGACATCAAGCCAGGACTCAAGAATCTCAACGTTATCTTCATCGTACTGGAAACAGGTGAGGGGGGCTGTTTCAATAGCTAACTAACGCCTCATAACAGTATTATTATGAATCATCAATTAATGAACAGAATCAAATGTTAATAATGATCTTGTAATGCACTGGAGTGGAAAAAAAGTAATGTGAAATCTTACACACAATATAATGTCACAAGAGGTTCAATAGTCAGAAACATCCTTCTTATATGCCACCATGTAGTCCTAATGAGGACAGTTCATGTTGGGTTTATTTGAATCATGCCAGCCATCAAATAACTTACCTGTGTTGAACCTTCCCTCTTCTTTTTTCCACAAGTGGATGTTTATTCTCCTCTCACAATGAGATATGACACTTTCCTTGTTCAACTAGCTTGCTCTCGTCTTTGTAAAACAATCAAAAGCCACTGATTTATTTGTCCCTCAACCCCTCTCACACAGGACGAGTGACAAAGACAAAGGATGGGCATGAGGTGCGGACCTGTAAGGTGGCCGACAAGACAGGCAGCATCAGCATCTCTGTTTGGGATGAGGTGGGGGGACTGATCCAAACCGGTGACATCATCAGACTCACTAAGGGGTGAGTTATTGAGTCACGTCACAGTCAAGTCAACACCTCACTGTATGGACAAAGCGCCAAACCTACTGCTGAGTATAAAATCGATACAGAAATAAGACCATCCAGTCATATCTACTGTACCTAATCACCAGTACCTAATCACCAGAAGTTATTCGGATGAATACGTGCCATACTTTATTAGTAGTCTGCAATCTTGTATTGAAATTGCTGCCTTTTTCTCTAGATATGCATCTGTGTTCAAAGGTTGCCTGACTCTGTACACGGGCAGAGGTGGAGAGCTGTTGAAGATTGGAGAGTAAGTCCTGTAGTTTCTCTGTGCTTAATTACATTTCTTGCTACATAAATAAAAAGGAGCAGCCATGTAAATGTTGCTGAGAGATGCATGTAAGTTACTGGTCTAAACTAATGCCCACTTAAATGTTTTGTTCAGGTTCTGCATGGTGTACTCCGAGGTGCCAAACTTCAGTGAGCCTAACCCAGAGTACTCTAACATGGATCAGATGAAAAACAAGACGGTGAGGGGTGTTTTGAACATAGGGTGGTCAGTGTGTAAGCATGTCTTACTACAGGATGCTTTACGGAAGGATAGGGAAAAAATATTAAGTACCTTTTTCTTGTACTGTATTTGAACAGATTATTTAATTCCCAGGTACTCAGTGACCAAGGAAACATACTGAACAATAACATCTCATCTGGAGGCTCAGCTGGTAAGTCCACTATCAAAGACCAACAAAAAAAGATTGACGTCAAATGGAAGTGTTTTGGCAAATGCCTTTGTTAGCGTTTTTCGACAAAAGTAATTTTGACCTCTGCTGCTTAAGGTGCTATAGAACTTGTTCTCAACTGGTTTACCTGGTTAAATAAAGGTGAAAAAAAAAAAAAAAAAAAAAAAAAAAAATGCAACAATTCAACCTGCATGTCTCCCTAAATGTCAATGGCATGTCAGTAGCAGTAAACTAAGTAGCTGCTTGAAGCTGTAAAGTTGCTTATTTTACCAGTGAGTGGCAGGTTCAGTCACCTTCAGTGTATAAACAAGCAGTGTCTTCATTTTAATTGTGAACACTATAACACTACTTCACTTTTCCCTTCTATCACTTTATGAAGATTCTAATTTGAGCATTACAATTTCTTATTGTAGGAAATGACACTACCAATGGGAACGGTGTAAATTCACAAGGTTCCGGGAGCTCGACTAACCCTCAGCAGGGAGGGCGGGCTGGAAGTGGTGTCAGCAGCAGAGCAACCAATCCAGGAGCAGGAGGGACCACTGTCAATGGAAAGGAGACCAGACGTTCTGCCAAAAGATGATAAGAGCAGAGGGAAGCAAAGTCCATCCCACGCCAGCAATTTCTAACTGAGACTACCACTGAAGACTCATGTTTCTTTTACAACAAACTGTGTAATCAGTCTTTATATTTTTATATTTGTGTATTTAGTTTTTTGTTGTTGAAATTACCATGACCATTACATTTCATTTACTTGTCTTTGTAAAGTGGGTTAAGAAATAGTATCTTAATTAGGTTTGTTTAAGGAACACTGTTCACAAAAGATTATGTAACAAGTTTCCCTTTAACAATTTTACAATTAAGCTGTTTAATGGGAAGCCATGTGTTTTTCAAAGTTAGACAGGCAGGGATGTTACCTTCCCTTTGTTTAAAATGTGATACTCTTTTTTTAAATAAATCAAATGTGTTTTGCTTTCATTTTGTGCACGCAATGTTAATGTTTTCCCATGAGATGTCTAAAATATAAAATTACTCAACTAATGTGCTGTGTAGGCTCTGTGTGCAAAATGTATCCCAAAGCTGATCATATAAAGTGAACAAAACACACAAAGTAGATATATTAAGCAATAGCACTTTATTTAAACAAAACCAATCCTAAGCCACAACACTGAATGACAAGACTCATAGGCTGCAGCATACATTGTATAAAATCGATCAGGTTTCAATGCCTTGGTTTGTTAAGTTTCTCCTGTAATGTCAGAAAGGTCAATGCAGATTACGTTGTTTGATTCACTCAAATCAGTCTTTTATACAAATTCTTGTAACAAATAACCATTCACTAGCACACTTAATGATATAACAAGGCAAAGTGCTTTCAAGGATTGCATTGTCACAAATTCATGAAAGAGTTGGATATTTGTTCAGGAGTGGGGTTTGTGTCTCTCTTTTAGGGCATCTCACATTCCTCTGCTTCAGTCAAAATGTCAGTTTGGGGGGGGGTGATGCTAGTATTAGTATGACAATTATTCATTTTTTTCTTTTGAATGCTTAAGGCTGGATACGATTAGATTTCCCTTCACACGTAAACACCACATGCATCATATATCCATCATCAGACTTCAGTAAGAGCCTTAGTTATTTGTTGCTTTTGTAATGAAGTTAGATGCACACATTCTCCCAATCTCTCGTAGTTGTACACATGGTTACAACTGTAAACTTGATGTTTAGACGTATGGCTCAACTTACACACGTACAGTAAAAACCCACCGTACTATGAAAAACTGGATGATTACTGGTGGATAAAGGATACTTTCAGAGGGTTAATAAAAAGCAATCATAAAGTACCTTGTTGCAACAAGTATCTGAAGGATAGCAAACATGTACCACAGACAAGGTTCACGTGTATGCTACAACAGACCTTAAAGAGATTTCATTCTGATCATAATACAGTTTGGCTTCACATTCCAGTGGCTGTTGTGATATATTATTTTTTCTTTCATTTTACATGCTCATACACACAAAATCAATCAAGATCACATTAGATTTGTCTTTTAGATTAAAAGTGATGAATATGCTTTCATATTTTTCAGACACTAGTATAGGTGGTTATGTGCTAAGACGACGACGATGAGCTGTGCATCAAGGAGGTAGGCAAAACATGATCATAGCAATTGCATTAGTAGCAAAAGTACCGGTAATGTTAACTTTCAAAATAGCATGGACTTTGTATCTTACCAATGAGATTCCATTTTGGATGCGAGACCTTTTTTCTCTCATTTTAATTAATTAATTGTAACTGATATATTTCTGAGGTAATATGGATTTAATATCGCACAATCTATTTGACCACTATCTCATGCTAGTAAAACCTATATACGATTTTTTTTTTTGCTGTAAGCAACTGAAGGCTCTAGAAAATACACAATACTGAACGCAGGCATGCTCAAACTCTCCACCAGGCAGCAGTTGCCGTAACTTACTTCAAAACAGAGCCTAAGGTGCAAGAGAAAAATAGTGAAAAGTTGACAAAAGGCCTGAAAAAGCATTTTATGCATTTTCACTTGCTCACATTGCACCACCTGAATTTATAATTAGGCCTAAATGAAGCACAATAACACTTTCATGATCACCTACAGTTCACACTGAAGTGACATGGGAGGTCAACATGCTGTCCTAAACATTGGCTTGGCATATCCTATCCATTCTAAGGACCACAACCAGATATACAATTTTTTAACCACTTGTCCCTAAAATGAAATTCTTGACCAACTCCTAACTTTAACCCGCAACTTCCAAGATGGTGAAAAAAATAGCAGCGAAACAAGGAGCCAATGAAATTATAGCAGAAGTAATATGGACAGGAGACTGCTAGCCAATCAAAGCACATAATTCAAGGTCATAGACATGACCTGTGTTATATTTCACCTGGCTGGTCTATGCAGTCAGTAAACAAAGCCTAGCATCATACAAAGCAATGTCCAATGCCTGAATCAAACCAAGACGCCTCTGCCCTCCTGAATAAGAGCTTAATATATCCAGAACCAAAATAAAAAGGAGGGCTGTTAAGAAAAAGGAAACGGCCAACCACCAACCTCAAGCTTTCAATTACACTAGTGTTTTACATTTTATTCAAAAGGTCAGTTAATGCATATTAGGCTACCACACATACTACGTAGGATACTGTACCAGAAACCAGTAGGCCTAACCTTACATATTATCATTTTCAAATATGCTCAAATTAAAATAATCAAATTTAAGGACTCAGCCAAAAACTATTACAGACCATAGCACCAGAATCTTCCAAACATCACTTGTGTTTCAAAGGGAATGTATTTTGCGTTACCAATTAGAAATAAAACCAATATTCTTTACGGTATTTGTAAACCAGGAAAGTATGTAAAGTAGTACAATAGACATGAACGAACACACTTTTTCTTTGCCCTTTTGCTGATAGCAGTTCATATTGCCATCGCACACTCACATTCTTGACATCATACTCACTAATGAAGACATGACAGCTAACTGCCCAAATCATCACACACAAACACACACGTAAATCACAGAACTCTATGCCTACTCACTGTACTATAAAAGTAATCACAACATCCTGAAGTTCTATGGCATAGCAATCCATTGTCTTTGTCCACAAAATACAATCTTCTACCACCACCTCAATAGAACCCAGTGCCTTGATGTTACCTTGAAGATTACATATATTATACTTAGAACATATCGCAATACAGAGAACAATTTATATAAAAACACACAAACACATACTAGATGCCCAATTAAAGGGGTTGCATACAAACTAGCTATTAAAATGTTTAAGCTACATCTTTTCATTCTTGATTATCTTAAGTCTGTTCTTTTTGCCTTCAAATACGGTTAGAAGGGGTTGTACAGACACCAACTAAAACTACATCCCGATCAAATCAACATATATACTGCTAAAATGGTACTACAAATGTCACAAATATTAGTCTTTCTCACTCAGCTTTATAATAATTCACCATGTTGATTTCAATACCATTTAGTTGAGTAAGTAAATCAACAATCTCTACACACTACTGTCTGCAGTGCATTTTTTGTGATGTTGTGCTTAGGACACCCAACAAAGTGCACTTGCCAATATTGCTTTTGTTATGAATTCACACTAAAACTTCAGTATTATCACTACTGTGATCCAAAACTATTTCACTGTGTGGTTTTTCAGGTCCCTTAAGAGAGGCTGTTCCTTTAAAAATATGGCAAGCCAAGCAAGACTAAGGCAAGAATCAAACAAGAGCTAAATAAACGACAGTCAAGTTGTACATCCAGAAGGTGTTTGGATTTATGACAACAGCACGAGTGTTTCTTTGGATTTGTGCTTTGAAAAATGTCTCCAGCCAATTAACAATTGCTCCAGGAGTCAAGCCACAGTGCACCACATGGATGATGAGACTGGGAAGCACTCTAGCATCAGCATTATGTTTTGTATTCTGAATGAACAACAATGGCTCACTGACTTCACCCAGTCTGATTGTGAGTAGTTGTGCTCCTGGGAGGTGCGACCTAAACTTTTATCAACAATAAGGCTTTCAATTGGCATGAATGGAAGACCAATTTGCTGATGCATAAAATAAAAATCTGACTTTACTATTTGCTCAATGGTTTTCTAACGACACAGTTTAGTATACCTGTTTATATCAAGTGTCAGTCAGGATTGTATTGGGTAGTAATAGAGGATCTGAGTTTTGCAGTTTACAAGCTAAAATAATATTCTTTAACCATCTTCAATTTTCTACGAGATCAAGAGACTCCAACCCCATAATTTTGAGCAGCCATGTGACATACAGTATATATAAAAATGCACACAACTCTCAGAAATAAGGTACTTTATGATGTGGATCTAAAACAACTTCCGTTCCGAGACATCTCTCTCTTTTGGTTGCCTACTAAGGCATTTCTTTAATGGAAATATCATGATTTAATATCCTTATTCACCTATTTGCATTGTCCATCCTATGGGTAGTTGTCAAGAAGCAGTCAAGTCATGAAGAAACCATCAAATCAAAGAGAAAAAAAAGTTACAAAAAGGTTTTCATGTTGCATAATATGTATCACATAACATTTACTCTCCAATGAGGTTGAATATATTAACAAAATGCACTGGCATGGATAAAAATCATTGCGAGATATAACATCTTGAGGTAAGCTGTTCGATGTCTGATTACGGCTAATCAAGTAATACATGAAGTCACACAATAGAAATTGTGTCGACATTACTCTCCACTAAGACAACACCATTGCATCCCTTTAAAGAGTACTCTTAGATAGTATTTTTGGAGTGAGAGGACAACTTAGTAACTGCCCTTGAAGAGGAAGAGAAAACAGACAAAATAAAAGCAATTGGTGTCGACATTTTGTCCCTGAAGTGTTTCAAAGCAGCCAACTACTTGGGTGAATAAAGTGAATCCAAACATCAGTTTGCTTTGTTTTGAACATTGCTATATGTTGCTAAGCCTTAACTAACTACAGAGGCACAAGAGACAAACTTTTTCAAACAGTTCACTCTAGTTAATTCAGGACCAAACAAACTTCGGACAGTACAACAGGCCACACCACCTATTACATTTCACCTATGAGGGCTGTATTGCAGAAAAGAGCACTAGCTACACGCGTGCAAACAAACAAATTACAGTCTCTGAAGAAGAAAAGGCTAGTCAATATATAATTGTTAAATTCTATAACCAGTTAGTTTTTTTTATTTTCTCCATGAGCTAAAGTATATGCGCCGCCAGGGATATGGGTAATCCCACGTGAAAATGGAACAAATGTCAATTACATTTGATAATTAATTGTTACTCAATAATAATGTTAGACACATGCCAAATTCTGCAAAATTACATTTGAATAAGCATGGAAGTGTAGTTGTACAATATTGACAAATTAATAATGAAGGCATAAACATACTAAAACTATGCAATCAAAGAATCTGAACATCTTCTCAAATAAATAGAGATAGGACAGACATGCAGCAGT